CTTGCCAAGCCGAGCCGGAAAGATGCTGCTGCCATGACCTCCGAGCAGCCTTCTACCTCATTAACCTCTTCCCAGTATCGGATGGCGTACTGGCGAAGAGTCTCGGATTCCCTCCGTCTGAGGGTCAGCAATGATCCAATGTCTTTGGGGCGCTTACTCCCCGTAATGAATCGAGCCAGGAACTGCTTAGTCAATTCCTTCCAGGACCCAATACTGTTGGGGGGAAGCGCCTCGAACCACTTCATCGCAGAGTCCCCCAAGCTCATAGGAAACACTCGGCAGAGAAACCGTTGGTCCGAATGATAGAGGGACATCATCTGCTTGTATTGCCTGACATGGGCTTCGGGATCGGACCGCCCGTCATAAGTTTTGAACCGCGGCACGACAAACTTTCTTGAAACCTCCATCTCACTGATCTCCCTCGTAAAGGGTGTTTGTATGACTTCGTCCTCGGTCTCATCCTGGACAGCCTTACCCTTTCTCCTAGAGTCTAACCGGGCTCTGAGATCAATTTCTTCCCTGACGGGATGCCTTCTGAAGTCCTTGAGTTCATCGGTAAGCCCCTCATTTCCTGGGCGTCGTGTGGATTGGGTTGAATCCTCCTCGGATTCATCTCCCTTCCTCCGTCTAGACAAACCTCGTCGGAGGTCGTTCAGAGCTAATGGCCTGGCCTTCCTTGAATGGTTGTCATGATGATGCTCACTGGCTCTGGGTCGCTTTGGGGCCCTAGAGCTTTCTGCATTGTTGTTTAGGTGGTTTCTTAGATTCTTCGTTTCCGCCTCCCAGGCGGAAAGCCCACGAGAAAGGAATGAATCCCTCGACCCTTCACCAGAGGCGGCAAACTCGTTGAGCCGGCTTAGGACGTTTACATTGTCCTTTTTCAGCTGTCGTAATCTATTGCCAAACTTTTCTTCAATCACCTCCGCCAGTTGACGAGCCAAGGGGGCTGATCCCCCTGACCTGATTCCCATATTGGTTTGAGGGGTAACCCTCTTGACCGAGTAGAGGCACTTTTATTCATATCGGTGTGATCCCTTCCTCCGTGATGACAGGGAGCTTGTAACTCGAGACTCCTTTGGTGGGGGCCTTTCCCTTTCTGTCGAGTGTTCACCATGGTCACTGTTCTTTATAGAGAAAAAACTAGAAAAACTAGTCGTTTCCCACAGACGGTGCCAGATTGTGCGTGCAAGATCCTACACAATATAAAAAACGAGAACAGATCTCTC